ATAATTTTTTCAAGATCGAACAATCATTTTTCACTTGGTTGAGCTCGACTCTCCACTAGCATCACGTGTAAGCCAATGATCTCCAGAGCAACTATCCAATTGATAGCAAGACCCGCTTCAGCGCATGCTCCAAGAGAGTAACGGTCCATAGCCTTAGGATTTATTGGATGAAATTTTAAAGCAGTAAAGAAGAAAAAGTAACTTTGCATAAAATTCCCTTAGCAAATAATGATTCCGTGATCTTCGCTTGACCGTTCTATTTTTCTATTTGGATACAGCAATACAGCTTTGACATTTTGTTTTCTTAACAACACGTTTCCAATTACTCCACAACTCTATTTTGACATTTTAAATGAAATGCACAAGTCTTGCAGGTTTATAATGCAATTATCATGACTTTTAGGTATATGGAAATACCGGAAGGCTGAAAAAAAGAAAATTGGTAAGAGACAAAATTAAAACTGATCATGAAAACACAGCCTTTTGTATTAAACACCTGGCAAAGAGGAGTTACATTCCTGAATGGAAATAAAAAAGCAAGACTTGCATAATTCAGCGAGAGAATTGGATCATTTACAAGTTTGATGATGTTGCAGATTGTTGGCTACAGTTATAAAACGTGCTAAAAAGGGCAGGCTAAATGTACAGATACCAAATAGTGCCGAGAATTTGCTAGAAAAATGAAAGGATCCCTCCCTGTGATTTTTAATGATTTCTATTTTGCTTTTCGTTCGGCTTTTTTTTCTCGATGTCTTTTGTTTGTTTAATAAAGTCTGATAAAGTAGAAACAATAACATCGCAAAAATTTATAAAAAATTAAATATACAGTCCGAAAAACAAGGATTTTGCCCTAGGGAACAGCGGCAAGTATATTGATTAAATTGTAACGTTCTATCAGAATATTCGCGGAGGAGAGTCAAGTGGTAATTTTGTGATACGAGAAAAAATCTTAGGTTCGTCAATGAATGATTTGAATATGAGGAAGCGAGAATCTATAGTGACCTGCCTTAAAGATCGCGATCAATCCCTATTACGAAAAGGTTTACGCTATTGACAAGACTAGACAACGTTTTATTTACATAAAATCAATTTAATCAAATTGTAATAATTATTTTATTTGACAGTATTTTCAAGGGAATGTACTATCTTGTTATTGCTGATTTATTAAAAAATCATCAGTGGTTGGGCATTCTCTGTGTCTTTACCAGCTGTTTTAGCAAGAAAAACTAATCAAGTAATATGAATTCGTTTCACTTGAATTTTCCTTATGACTGTTTTGTATGCCCTTCCCTGAGAAAATGTGTTATAGGAAATATACGGATAACGGAAACAGGTGCTCATCACAGAGCAACTAACTTTCATAAACTAATTTAACAAATGAAATGCTCCTTGATCATGGACAGGCCAGTTACGCCCTGTGGAACCGTTAAAATAATAGTACGGGTTGACGGTTTAGAAAATCGGTCCACAGCTTACTATCCGTTCAAAAAATGAGGATGCCGGTGTATCTTTGCACGTTTCAGTCACGTGATTGATGACCTGACAGTTGATGTTAGCTAATTTTGCAGGTGGTTTAACCAATTCTCTTTCTCCGTGGGGTCAAAACTGAATGGCACAGCAAGAAAGAGTCTAAAGGAAGGACTATAAAAAGAATTGGCTGCCAATTAACTCTCAATTAGGGGGATCATAGGAACATTCCAGAGCCTTATTAGGGATCCAATGAATTTTATCGTGAATCAACCAAACATCTTCTCACCCCCGGCGATAGTAATGGCTGGCGTTTTAAGGATACATTAATCACAGTGCATTACATCTTTATTAACTTCCGCCGCTTTTCATTCGATCCCTTCATACTGAAGTCAAAATTTTAACTACTACTTTCCCAACTTTATTTACAACACTATACGTTACTAAGTGTACATAAAATGCCCTTAAATAATATTACATGTCCTTATCTCACTTTTCAAGACTAACATTATCGCCAGTACTTACTTTGCTTAAAATGCCAACAATTGAACACAGCGAACATTCCATTTCACCCCTTACCACCACAACACTTTTTACGGTACTAACACTGTTTAGGCTGGTCGATGCACTGCCTCGCCTGGAATCCCACCCGGTCATCTAAGTTTAGAGCATGCGCAGAGGTGGCCTCTTCAAATAATGCCACAAGGCCACATAGTTAAAACCTCTCTCTTTCAGGTTGTCAGTTTTTATTCAGTTATTGGACTTAACGATGTGTTTCTCTGGTTCCTGATTGTGTACATACACTGGAATATCTATTAAGAATTTTTCCTCAACGCCTTCACGAAAGGAATTTCGCCTTAGGATTGGTTTATACCTGGATTTTACATGCTTTTGCATGATTGCATGATATTGCCTCTCCCTCCCCACTCCCTACTTTCTTCTTATTTCTAGCTGTTCACTTTTGTTTCAAGGTAATTGAGTCTTTTTTCGGTTTCTCTTAGAATCTCAAGTTACGGGGAATGGTCTGTAAACAAACAAAGCAATCGTGGATAAATATCGACACCCAATTGAAAATTGCTCTAAAAATAGGAATCCAGGTGGACAATCAATTGATTTTATATGATGAACCTAGCGAACACTTCGCTCTTGTTTGTCTAACCCTTGAAAATGCCTAAAACGTCAGCCTTAATATTAGGTGCAAAATTCTTACTTTTCGCTGCTATAAGCATATCAGAATTTGATGCAAGATAGAATAAAACAGCTGATCATTTCATCGATTCTTATCACTTGTTTGCTGGGTAGTTTATTGATATGAACGAAGAAAGTAATCAGCCCTCGTCATATGTGTGAGAATTCATTTGTTACAGTCTGCCTTGGCTATAAGCCTCGAATAAGAATATTACCATGTGGAGTTACAACATTTCTCATTTGGTTGGGCGAGTTTGTTCCGATACGATCATGGGTAGGAAAATGGTTCATGGTAGAGCCATCAAAATAGTAGTAAACGGTGTTCCACGGCCCACTCATGGAGAACAGTGGTCCCACTTGTTTGGAAAAAAAAGGGAAGGAACCAACGTGTTACTCGGATCATCCGGCACCTGTTTAATTATCGTACAGTTGACGCCACCTTCCCGCCAATCAACCAAGCTGCCACTTCCCGGATCACACACCAGCCAATTGCTTATGTTGCTTATGATGAGGACCTGTCTGCAGAGTTGCCTCCAGGGTGAAAAGTTCATGGCCCTGTAGTCTGTTTCATTTAATGGAGGAGTTGCGGAGATAGGAACATCCGCTTGAGATCTCACCAGCCAATTTGGCCTCGGAGTGATCGCATTTGATTTACGCCTAAAATGACTGTAGTTAGTGAAGGAATAACTCCATACAAAACTGCAACATATCATCAATGGCAAATACCTTTGTTAAATATATAGAACCATCTCGCTGGTAAAGATGCCCAGCTGCTGAACTTGTTTGCATTTCGCCGCGAAGAAGGTGACAAAGTCTTTGGTTTTCTAAAAATTTTGCTCTTCTGCAAGAAGTTTCCCGCCCACACAACGCAGAACAGGAAAGCAAAGAGTCAGTTTTGCCAGACCAAACGAGACTTTCCTCACTGAAACCGAAAAAGCTGTTTTCTTTGATTTGGAAGAAAACGCCATGTTCGGATCCTTCTGTTGTCGTCTTTGCCAACAACAAGAGGAAAGCAAATCGGTACACGACTTGAAATAACATCTGTCAAGAGAATCTTACGACAAATTCTTTTTATTTAGTAAACGTATGAAACATACAAATTGCCTTCTTGTTGAGAAAATGGCAGAAAAATCAGAAAGGCAGAGAATATTTACTTACGCTTTTCGTTTATGAAAAACACCGCGCGACGGTTAGAAACCTTTCTGAATAGGTCTGCATCGTTAGTGTTAATTGTAAATTTGCTGATTCTGTGATCTTCGTCTGAA